CGTGAAGGGTCGACAGGATCGATCGCGTCGGTGTGGGGAGTCGTTCGCGGTTTGGGGGGGTTGACCCCTGTGGCGGGTCCTTTATGGGGTTTGGTGATGTCATCCTGCTTGGCTTTTGCGGTCAAGGCGGAAATGGCGGTTACGGAGGCCCCGGGTTCGAGCGACGCCCTTGCATGGGTCTCCGCGGATGTCATCATTGCCATAATCTCCTTCGATGCCTTTAGTTCATCGCGACAGTAGCGATTTACGGCTGAGATGGCGTTTGCCCACGTCCCGCACACGCCGCTCGCCACCCCGAGCGTGTAAACGACAACGCGAACCTCCCCCTGGATAGGGTCGGCGTTCGGAAAATCGCGTGCGCACGAGTCCTGTTCGGGAGATACTGGCCAAGACGCAATCGTCTTCAGCAGGTTTGTGTAGGCCGTTTTATCGAGCAGGGTGTGCAGGATGTGCAAATCTACCGGCCTGTCAGGGGGGCTTTGCCATACCACCCTTTCGTATTCGTTGTCGTAGAATAACCCACTTGTGCTACTACTATTGATGCTATTAGCCATCAGGATATCATGCGATCCATCTTTGGAATACGGTAATGGCAGTAAATTTGAGATTGTGGCATTCTCTACGGTGGCAGTATTATCCTGTGAATTCATTTTTTTTTCTTCACTGTTAGTAGAGGTATGTGGAACTTTCTTACCTAGCTGCACATCTGCAGTAGAATGGCTCGCATTTTTTTGTAGATCCTGTGAACTGTGCGTTTCCAACTTTTTTACCACAATGGCAGATGAAAGATCACCCTCCGTGAAAGATATCCGCTGAAAATGACCTGTTTTCACCACCATTGATAGCTCTCGATCCATCACCCACACCACTGGACGTGATAACATCTTTTTTAAAGACTTGCGAACGTCCTTTAGATGTGGTTTTGCTTCTGATGGAAGGGTTGCATTGTCATCTAAATGAACCGATACTGCTTTGGTAAGCACAAGCTGTTCAGCAAGTGCGTCCTCCATAGAAAGGTTTGTCATAACAGTCACTAAGAATGGGTACCGGATTCTGTGAATTCCATCCAAATCCCTTTGAGAAGCGGTATCGGCAAATTTGTGTATGGCCTGTTGAATTAGATCGATCAATCGATCCTGCCGTTTGTGCTTCGCTGACGAGTTATCTGTGTTAGACGAGAGGTCCAACAACAGTAAATTAGCCACTACTTCCGAGGCTTTGAGGGTAGTTTTACGATTCATATCCCTGGCTATTGTGTGAAAATCAAGAATGTGACATGCTGGAACTACAGTGTTAACTATCTTAGACAACGGCAAGGGTTGAGACTGTGGATCCTTTCCAGAGGTTCCCCGAACGCCAGTTTTCCTTTGAGAAAAGACGAGGGGTCGTGTTGGGGCTTTGCCTCGATGATGCTCAGAATTTCTGTCTCTAATTTTTCCAGAAACTACAGTGGCAGAAGGTGAAGTTTGTCGCTTCAACTTCTGACGCTTATCCTGAACAGAAGAATGCGATTTAGTTGCCAGTCCTGCCGCAACAGCCTTTGGGGTAGACCCAAGTCTGCGACTTTCTCGCCCTAATCGATATGAAATTAAACGAAGCATCAATAATAATAAATATGAAAAGAATCCATGAATATTAATATTCTTTAAAAATTGGTGTCTATATGTATGCGAGACTTAGTATAGATCGAACTTACTTTATTCCTTTTTGTTAGTGATAAGGAATATAAAATAAAAAAAATTGATATTAACTTCAAGGACGAACTTTTCAAATTCATGCAAAATACTCACTTAGTCTCAGGAAACGATAAAAAAAAAAATACTGTTCACACTTTTGAATTCATCACCAAGTGAGTTTATCAAAGAAAAATAAGGGCTCATATTGTGCACATACGTAACCCTATTGCTATATATGCATGATCACTTGATAAGTAATATAAACACGTAATATGCTTCAAAAATCTAGCGTAACATAAAGATTCAAAAAGTTGTAATCAGTACATCTGTATTTTCACTAGCAAAGAAATGAAGTGTATTCTTCGTTTATTCACAAAGACAGTAGCCAATAATAATAATTAATGATAACACTGACAATAAAAGAAAGTAATGAAACATTCTATAAAAAAGAGGAAATAACCTAAATGCGATTTTTTAAATATAAACGCTCTAACCTAAGTGCCACTATGATCTAAACGAATAAAGAGATTCATGCATACCTTTGAAAAAATTGGAATATTTCAATTCAAACAGATAAAAAAGGATCACACAAAGAAGCCAATGAGAAGAAGATTCCCCGTTCTCCCTTTTAGCGCACTGGTAGATATTAGCAATTTTAGGAGTCTCTTGGAAGCACAAATACTCGTGTGCGTTTGAAATCCTCTCGTCGTTGAATTTCCGCCTCGATCACCGCCTTCTGGTCTTCACAATCGCGTCGGTTGAGATAGCTGTCTCGAATCACCAGTAAGACGAGTGGAAGACCGTTCGCGGCCCGCGCCCCGAGCGCGATCCCCTCCAGCTTAAGAGCAGCGACCACCGCGGCGATAGTGCTGTCCACTGCATAACTGGGCGAAGGGGGCCTTTTGAAGTTCCCCCGACAAACCCGCTCAGAGATGACGACGAGGGCGCCCAACTTGGGGAGAAGGTCATCCAGCTCCATCAAGGTTTTCCGTAGACTTCGTTTGGGTTCATTATTTGCGGAATTCCCGTTATTCACCTCTTTTTGCTCGCGGAGGTAGCGTTTCTTGAAAAAAGGTGTGAGAAGATCACGCAGACGCGCGCGGCGATGGACGACTGTCCCGGCGGCGAGGTCCTGAAGGGGCATCTCAGACAAAAGCGTGGAGGTAACGCCGCGAGGAAAGGCTGCGATGAGCTGCACAGCATCAGAAACGGTTTTCTTTGTTGGGCAGGTGCGATCCACGGTGGGGGGAATGGTAAGCACCGCCCCCTTCGGCTTTGACCGTCCCTTTGCCTTTGTTTTTCCGCTCCCTTCTTCTATTATTTTTTCTATTACTTTTTCTATTACTTTTCTTTTTTCCTTATCTATTCCCCTCCACGAGGGGCGACACCAGTCGTGCACGATGGCCCCACGAGGGGTGATGGCGTGGGGTGAGCTGGGAGTGGCCTTACCGCCGGATGAAGAACGACGCGACTTCCCCACCATGCCATGCCATCTTTTTGGTTCTATGCTTTTCTTGTTTTTGCTAATAAGCCTAACATTTGTTGTTTGGGCTTTTTGCTTTATGGAGGTGGCGGTATAAGCCGTCTTCGGCATTGACCGCTGGTTCGAAATTGAAACCGAGGAGGGGGCGTTGCCCGACTTCAATCGCCTCAGGGAGGCTCGTTTGAACAGGTTTCGGGTCAACGTTTCCCTTTTGGGGATTGAAATCGACCATCGCTTATTTCCTAAATTGACTGAGGCCTTTTGCCCCCAGGACGGGACCTGCGCCTGTGCGTGACTTCTTATCGTTCGAAATTGAAAGGAGCCCGATCGCGAGGTGAGGTCGCAGCTGCGCAGCTTGGCGACGTGCAGGGTGCTTTTCGCCATCCGCTGATGCAAAAGGACGGAAAACTCAGAAACGAAGGATTGGGTCGAACCCCCCCTCAAGGGGGCCTTTATCAATGTGGTTAGCGGAGTCCCCCCCCACCCTAAGCGTGCGGGGAATCTTTGCCGGGAAAAAGAGAAGCGTCGGAGGTTCTGGGGGCTTTCCGGGGCTTCACAGGGGACAACCACGCGGTTGTGGGGTGGTGGGGTTAGAGAGGTGGTGTCATAAACCCCCGCGAGACCCCTGCGGGTTATTTTATAGACCCGATGTGGCATCACCCCCGCAAGGCGTAGGGCGTTTTTCGCTAATTGGGTTGGACGATTGCGATGGACATCGCTAAGGAAGGATAACCTACCGCTCAGGGGGATCGAAGTGAGGTTTACCCACTGACAATAACATCCCTGAGGTTGCGCCTTTAAAGAGCTCCAAGCACAAGCGATGCCTGTCGTCAGAAAACTCACTTTGTAGTGCTCATGGCCCCTCAATAAACCCATTCTAAAGTTTCCTACACGTTTCGCAACCCACTTTGAAAGCTTCAAACTACAATCAAAGATAATGGGTCTGTTCAAAGTCTTGAATGAGTTGAAGCCGAGAGGCATCGCTCGGATCAAATGAGGGGCTGGGAAACACCGAGCATCCTCCCCGCCCCACCGCACCTTCAGATCGTTCGGGATGAATGGGTTAACAAGGAAGAAAAGGTAATTGATCCACTGAAAATTTGAAAGGGTAAGTTGATATGGTACGGTGGTATGGGAACGATAGACCGTTCGTGCGGGTGTGTAATCGTGGATAAATTCACGTAAATGAGCATTTGGGCATTGCAGAGATAGAGAAGTCAATACTGAATGAGTTTGATGCCGCAAAGTAATACTGTCGTTCGAAGGAAATAATGGTGAAAATGACTTTACGTGAGCGTGTGGAGGAAATGGGAAATTGCCATACAGAGAGAAGCTGCTCCTAATACACCCAAGAATAAAAAATGAGATTGGGTGAAGCCTCAATCGAGATGCAATGGAAAGTAATTCAGCTTTAGTACAACATAATGAGACTGGAACCGAATGGATACACAGTGATCTACAACTCGTTATACAACGAAATGATAAAAAAGACCGTTTTGTGAGGCCTTTTCCGTAGCAGCAATGATATGTCGACTCAAATACACTTTGCTCAATAACACGGAACATATTAGCTTTTTGAAGTCTTATTTACACTTTTTTTTTGCGCACCGTTAAGCATGCATAATAAAGAGAAAATATTAGTAGAGAAGAGAAAGGGGAAAACACTTTGTTGACTGACATATAAAATGCAGATTTCCGCTAGTTAAAATTGATCGAATATAGCGCAATAGGTTTCAGAACTGCATCTTTAAAACTACCAAATGGAAAAGAATGTATTAGAATATTGTCAATAGATAATTGCAGGCTGATACTCCGATTTTTTTACCTTAAATTAAGAAAAGGAAAACAAAGGCTTAAAAGGCAACTCCCTTGTAATTCTCATCCCTGAGGGTTATATAGCAAACCCAACGTTCCCTGAATTCGCATTGAATAAAAAATCGTTTTTATTATTTCTATTTAAAGAAGTTAAGTGCCGACTTCTATATTAATTGATATTTTTATTGACACACTTGTTAAATAGGTGAGATATAATTCCCAGGGTAAATGCCCTAGATGGGAATTTAGACGCCACTGTCATTGCACTAAGGTAATGCAAACGTGTTTGAAAAAGAAAAAAAGCGTGGTAAAAAAAATGATAATGCTAACAACAATAATACGCTTTAGTTATTCACTTATTAGTTTTTATTTTCGCAAATACATATGAAGGGTTTATGCTCATATCAATCTGGTTTTCGACTTTTTTAGTCTTTGCTCCCTAAACATTATGTTTTGCCCCTTCGTCCACGGACATAACGGCTACCGCATCGTTTTTTGTCATTTTACACTACTATGTTTACCCTTCACTATAACTAAAATGGCACACCTTAGCAATTTTCAAAGAGAAGTAATAATAAAAAATTAATAGAAATAGAACATTTAACATGTCGTCATTACTCTCCATAATCACTTTATCTTTAGTACTACTCCCTATCAAGGACAACCCTTAAGATTGTGAAGCTATACCCTATTGGCGAAACCTGTTCCGATGAGGTAAAATACTTATAAATTCGTGCAGAGAAACTGAATATTAATCTCCACATACGAGCACGGGACGATGATGTCATAAGCCTTCAGAGTGTTAGGGTGAATGACGCCGAGGCCACCGATCTTCACCTTTTCGCCACGGCGATGGAGGAAGATATCCATGCAGCGACCAGGGAAAAAGGCCCCATCCTCACCCTTTTCAAGGCTGTACACATCCCCTTCCCAACCTTCCACCTCATTTCCTTTTTTAGGGATCCCAAGCTTCACAAAAACGTGCTCGGTGAGCGAATGAATATTCTCAAAGCTGCTCCCGGAGCTCGCGCAGTGGATGGCGGCAAGATGTCGTTGGTTCCGCGCGCCCGGACTGGGGTAGTTATCCCCCGTTTCCAACACGGGCGGAAAGTTCTTCGCGTTGTCGAGTAAAACCACATCCGCGCATTCGAAATACCGCTGTGGAAGCGGCTGCGATTTATTCGATCCCATTGTTTTGAGAAGACCTGGTAGGAGAGAGGGGCGGCAGACCTGAAATTCCACCGTCTGCGGGTTGGCGATCTGCACGGCGATTTCGTCGTCTTGGCGGTTTAAATAGGCAAAAGACTCATCCCGAGAACACAAAGAAAAGGTCAGAAGCTCCAAATACCCCGCATTTGCCATTTCAACGCGAAGAAGATGCCCAAACTTGCTCACGGCGGTCTGCGAAACATCACCGTTTGTATAGCATTCTTGATAGGTGATATTGTCATAGCCGTAGGCAATCGCCACATCTTCTAAAACATCCGATACGCCTAAGACATCGGTGCGAACAGGGGAGGTCTCTACCTCCAGGGTCTTTTCATCTTTTTTTTTGACGTCGTACATCATCTTCCGAAGGTGAACCGCACACTCATCGGAGGATTTCATGTTAATGCCAATAATTTTGTTCAGTTTGTCGATATCCACAGTGAGTTTCGTGGTTTCAAGGACTGGGCAAATTTCACGTTTCGTTCCATCAGGAGCCTCGTCCTCATAATCCACTGCCACTGCCTCAATTGTGAAACTTTTCTCACAATAGATCGAAAACGCGCAAACCAGTTGATTGACCAATACCTGAGCTTTGTAATGATCAGGCGCGGTGCACTCAATAAAGACATTTTTCGTATTCGCCGTCATGTGCGAAAAGTCAGAATTAATCACCGGCGGCAGCGATAACACGCGTTTGCCCTCTCCATCCATAATAACAGGATATTTGGGCATCTCCGAGATGAGGGGAACGTACTTTCGGATATGGCGATCCTCTGCGTAATAATTTATCAATCCATCCCCTGTGCAATCCAGCTCTTTCGTTTGGCGAAGTGGTATGAAACGAATATCCTTTCGCGTGCGCGCAGAATAAAGAAACCGGTTCGTCGGGATTTTATCCAAATCATGCGTCCCGACTGAGGCCAAGGTCCGGCGTCTTGCCAAACCTTGATGGAGTTTCTCCTGAAAATCTATAAAACCGGCATAACTTTGCTCATTAAAGTGGATATTTTTTAGCACTGCGCAGACGACATAATCCCGAACGTGTTTAATGCTCTTTTCGACCGTCATATGATAAAGTGGATTCCTACAATTAAGGACTTGATAGCGGGGAGTTGGCATGAACCCAAGAAACACTCTTAGAGCCGTAGACATCCCTTCCGCGCTGAGCAAATCATATCGATTAGCAGGCGTATCGATTTTGTAAATAATGTCTTCGGAAAGCTCTATTTCGCCACCCGCGGCGCTCGGCAATTTGCAGTGCTCACGAAGATGCATTTCCTTTTCGGTGGTGATGTCATCAAGCTCGACGCCGAACTGAAAGCAAATATCTTCGAATTGCTCATCGGTGTAAGTCTTGCCAATAAGGCTAAATAAGAAATCTTTAGCAACAGAAAGAGTAGGCATTTTCCTTATGGCACCGTTGTTGTTGTTTAATTTCCCCGACTAATCCTCTCTTTTTATCATTCGTCAGTTAAAAGTAAAGAGGGGAGAAAGGGAATATTAAATATATCAGAACAATAAAAAGGCAACTATCGCGTGTAAGTTATGTAAATAAAGGAAGAAAAAGCATCTCCTTATCTGTCTGATTTATTCGTCACAAGCAATTCAAGGAAATGTAAACAATATCAGTTCCAAAGCACATTGTTATGATTTCTTCATCTTCAAGATACTACGAATACGCTCCTCAATGGCATCCCGTTCTTTTGATTTAGTGTAGTTGGCGTTGTTGCTTTCCTCTAAGTCCTTTAAAGATTCCTTTCCGTTCTGCATAAGTTCGCTTTGCCGATTTCTCAAACGTGCAGCTTCAGATAATGTTTTGTTTTGATATGCAACCACGCGAAGTTTCGGATCCAAGCGCTGTTTCTGAAGCAAATCTCTTTCCTTTTTTATTCTAAAGACCTCAGAAGAGGTTACAAGGCCGGTGCAAGACAGGGGTTCGTTTTTAGAATGATCCTCGTCATCACGCTGACGCTTACGATCGGCTAACTTTTGGTGTCCCTCTTGATTACCCTCCGTCTGTTTTGCCGGCGTTCCCACTGCTTCAGTCCCTTCAAAGCCAACATTCTGACGAAATTTGCTCAAAAAATCACCACGGTTTACACTTTTAATCGCTTGGGATTCATAAGCACTGTTAAAAGTCTGCTCGACGGGCCCTTTTTCTTCACTGTGGTGCGGTATGCTTTTGCTTTCGCTCTCGCGCTTATATTCCGCATCAAACACCTTACGAACCTGAAGTGAATGCGCAAGTCCCATACCTTGAAGCCTCCCTTCAACCCCTGCACCCAGAGAAAGAGATGAGTTCAGCACCAGTTCATCATAGCGTCGCTTTTCTTGATCATGGTATAGCTCATTGGTTCTTTCGTTGTGGACTTGTTCCTTTTCAGCTGCCTTTTCTTTGAGCTTCTCAACTTTACGAAGATTACTGAAGGTGACTGGGTGGAAACTCTTGTTTCGATTAATATCCTTGCTGTGAGCTTTGTACATGATGTAAATCCGTATTATAGTAGAAAAAAATGTCAGAACTAAATACGCTTATGTATTCAACTATGACACGTGAAAATTTTTTTCACCTTGACGAACTTGGAACCAATGAGAACTGAAAATTATGAATATTTAAAGATGTGAAAAGAAACATTTAACAATAATGTTTAACACATATACATATATATGTAATACTTTTATAATTCCTCAGCGCATATCGAGAGATGCAAAGCTCTCAGATTGATTAGCATCATTCCTCGTTGCTCTCGTTTTCTAACACTATCAGTTTGCAAGGTTGCAATATTTTCTTGTGTGAAGTTGAAAGAAAAAAGTCATTTCTCAGCAACCAAGCTCAGGGGAGAGGAAAAGATATTTTCCCTAATTGCGTTCCCGAATAAGGTTCAAATTTTAGTTAATCAATGAAGTGTTCACCTCCTCGTAGGGCCCGGAGTCGACAAAGGGCATGAAATCCTCACGATATTCACGTGGGTATTCGATGTCCCATAACGTCAGACCATGCACAGGCGCGGGAGGGAGTCGCTCACGTTTGAATTTCTTGCGCGACGTCTCAAAGCCAGTTGTAAACGCACATTGCAAATCGAAGTCATCCCACAAACCATGCCCAGTAGCCCTCAGCACGCTCACCATATTACGGATTTGTTGCCTCAGAAAGGATTTCCCAACAAACCAAATAAGCACTTCATCTTCCTGGCGTACAACCTCAATCTTATCAATGGTGCGAATGGTTGGGAGGTTGGTGCGGGCCTTGAAGTACTCCTTAGGCTTCTCGTTGTAGTGCACGACCCGTTGGCCATATTCATTCAGCGTCGGAAGCGCCGAAGCGCGCTGAAGGTTGGTTTGACCCCGCTCCCACACCACCTTCGCGGCGGCCGCCGCGTCGTGCGGCCCGCGATCAATTATACTCGGCTCCTCATGTTCAGGAATGGAGGCTGCCGTGGCGAACCCTCCGTTTCCAGCGGCCGCCCGACGAAGCGCGTTCGCCATCTTCGGGTCGGTAAAATATCCGTAATCCTTCGTGCCCTCCATCGCCGCGGCGACGCGCTGCATCCGCGCGATGTCGAGCGCGCGGTCGACGTGCCACTGCCGGCCCGCCTCAAACAGCGGCGGGGCCACGCGGTTGAGGAGTCGATAACAATAAATCCGCCGCGCCGCGGCATGCCGGGCGTGAAAAGCGGGATTTCGGCAGCGATGGCAGGCCAGCAGAGCGAGCGGGCAGCCACGGGCGTGGAGCCAAAGCGTCGCGCGCTGTAAAATAGTCCGAGGCGCCAGCTCAAGGCTGGCCGGGGCGTCGAAATGGCAACAAAGCCGCCGCACGGAGACCCCACGCTCCGGCACCGCCGCAGCTACCACCCGCACTTCCGCGAGATCCAGCGCGACGGCGAGGGCGTCCTCGAGGACCGCCCTCGCCTGAGGTTGCGAAAACAAGACTGCCCCCCCCTCCCGCGGCGTCGCGGTGTGGCTTGTCCACCAGCCGTCGAAATCCTTCCCTTGGTACTGAACCTCCACCAGATATCGTGCGAAGCCGGGCAGGGTGGTCTGCTGCCCTGGGACGTAGCCCCTCCCCTCCCGCTCGTCCAGGGAAAAGCACAGGTCGTCCTCCTCCAAAAGCTCCTGCTGAAGGGCGTGGATGGCCCCCCCCGAGGAGAAAGCGAGGGGGGCGGTCTCCCCTCCCCCCGTCGCCGTCCCCTCCAGCCCAGCGCGAGGGTGCTCAGGGGCCCCCCCGACGTCGACCCCCGAAGAGGGCCCCGGACCGGGCGCCCGGGCTCCCCCCCAAGGCGTCCAGGACGTCGGGGCGGCGGCGTCAGATGCCGCG